GGGGACCGCTTCCGACGGAGACCGAAGTCGGCTCCCTCCCTCCATGAAACGCAACCAGCTGAGCCCGGGCCGGGAAACCACCGGAGTGGAGGCTGCAGACTGAGCTGTGGAGCAGTTGGAGAAGGGACTAGGACCGCTGAGAGCCCAGTTTTGACTCATGCACAAAATCAGAGGGGCAGGGGCGGGGTGGAAGACAGTGAGACAGAGGAGGCCGAGGCAGGAGTATAGCTTGAACTATATGGCAAGATCCTGCCAAAACAACGAAAATAGTGTCTGCGAACCTGTTTCAGACAGCGTCTCTCTGGCCAAGGCTGGCCTTGAACGCAAAGTGACCTTCCTGTCTCAGCCTCCCAAGTGCTGGGACCACCCCTGGCAGGCCATTAGGTATTTTAAAATGACTCAACACAAAATAAGCTCTTCTTTGAGCACTATAAAGTTGAGCTGTTACTTCTCCACTTGCCAAGACTGGGTAAAGAGCTTCTCTGAAAGGTTTTTAATTGCACTAGGTCCAGGGCCTCCAGCATGCTAGCCAAGCACTCTGCCACCCAGCCAGCTGCCAGTCTCTAATAGTGTGGCAAGTTTGATTTTTTTTTTTTTCTTTTTGGTTTTTTGAAACAGGGTCTCACTCTGTAGTTGAGACTGACCTGGAACTCACTGTGTAGCCCAGGCTGGTCTCAAGCTCACAGGGATCCTCCTGCCTCAGCCTCCCGAGTGCTGGGGGTTAGAGGTGTGCGTGACCACGCCCACATGGTGCAAGTTTGATTTCTAACTAGGATACAAAAGCTATGTCAAAATATTTTTGGTGGAATACCATTTATTACTGCTGCGAATTTAGTAGTTTTATCCAAACTTGTAGGAGCTATGACTTTGTATAAACTCCTAAATGTGACTCCACTCAGTCCAAGCCCAGAGGTTCCTCTTGACAAACCCCTGCACCCCTGTCGCAGTCACTTAGTCATTAACAGACAAACAAGATCCCTGGGCTCAGGGAAACTGGCCCAAGAACCTGAAGCAGCACTGGCCCACACCTGTGATCCCTCCTCTCAGGAGTCTGAGGCAGGAGGATCTCCAGGAGTTCCAGGCTGGCCTGGGTTACATAGTGAAACCCCGTCTCAGAAAAAAAAAAAAAAGAAGAGAGAGAAAACAGTACAGTGGTATTTAGTCCCTCTACCATGTGTACAACCCCTACTTCTAGCCAGTCCCAATTCCCATCACACACAATCCAACTCTGGTCTCTGTAAGCGGTCACCCAACCCCTGGCCACCACGGCCCGGTTCTGTGGGTTGCCCATCCCTGGTGTTCCATAAGCAGAAGCACACAGGAGGTATCCATTTGCATCTGGCTTCTTTCCTTCAGTTCTGTTTGTTTTTGACAGGGTATTGCTATGTAGTTCAGGCTGGCCTTGGACTCACAGCGATTCTCCTGCCTCAGGCTCCCGGGTGCCGGGATTACAGGTGTGCACCACCTTGCCTGACTGCATTTAACCTTTTAAGGAATTTTCAAACTGCTTTCCACAGAAGCCAAGCCATTTTATGTCCCTACCACGAATGTATAAGTGTTCTAATTTCCCCATGTTGTTGTAAAAGGCCAACTTAAACATTCAAATTTGAGAAATATAATTTATTACCCTAAGTAGAAAATAATGAATTAAAACAAGGATACAAACTTTTTTTTTACTTTTGTATTTTCTTTTTTTGGTACTGCGGATGGAACTTGGATCCTTACACTTGCATGGCAGGCGGCGGAACTGCTGAGCTCAATCTGCAGCCCTACTTTTATAGCTATAGACAGTGTCCTGCTAAGTCACTAAATTGCTTAGTCTGAGCTCAACTTTGCGATCCACCTGCCTCTGCCTTTCAAGAAGATGGGATTAAAAAGAAAAAAAAGAAGCTGAGATTATAGGCAAGAACCACTGCCTCCAGCTCACAACTGTTTAAAAAAACACATCAATAGGGCCAGGGATTTAGCTCAGTGGCACTGTGTCTGCCTCACAAGTGCAAGGTCCTAAGTTTGATCCACAGTACCAAAAAACCAAAAAAACCACCAACCAAAACACGTCGGTGGCTCAAGAGGAGAAAAATAAAAACAAACCACACCACACCATAAGGCACAGAGTGAATATTTGTTTACCACAGCGAACACGCGGAAGCTGGCCTGTATAAATACCGTAGAAGTGGGTCAGAGAGGTGTGAAGATTTACTCAGCATCAGAGCTGAAGGCTGCTTCCAACTCGGTGGGTGGGAAGGAAGAACACCCTTCAGCAGCATCCCGCAACCCCTCAGCCGCGGATCTAACACATGCCCTCAAGCTCCTGATGCCAAAGTGCTGTTCTGATGAGAGCAAAGCCCAGAGAGGAGAGATGGCGTTGGATGCAGCCCGTGTGCACCAGGGAGTGTTAACCCTGCTGCTTAACGCGGCTCAGCATCAGAGTAACCACTGCTTTTTTTTTTTTTTTTCTCTTTTGCGGTGATGCCTGGGCTAGAACCCAGGGTACCCTAAGTGCTAGGCAAGTACCAGTGAGCTACACTGCCAGTCCAGGATTAGCTGATTTTATACTGGACATTTTGCTGTAACGGGGACTGAACCCAGGGCCTCTGTATTGAGCTATATATGTATATCCAAGTCTTTTTAAACTTTTTATATTGAGATTGGGCATGGTGGCACAAGCCTGTAATCCTAGCACTCAGGAAGCTGAGGCAGGTGGATCACTATGAGTTTGCGGCCAGCCTAAACTACATTAGAAAGATCCTGTCTCAAAAAATGAAGAAAAGAGAAAAACTTAAAAAAACTTTTTGAGACAGGATCTTGTTAAATCATTTAGGTGCTTGAACCTGCAGTCCTCTTGCCTCAACCTCCAGAATGCCAGCATTACAGGTGCACCACACACCTGGCAGTGATGGCCACTGTAGAATGTCTGTGGCTCTAACCCTTCCTGCCTTCCTCTTTTCCCAGAAAGCCTCGGACCCTGGCCTGTACCAGCACGGGTCACACTAGAGCACCAAGGTCTTCTAAAGCCCCAGCTCCCCTCTTCCAGCTGTGCTCGGGCAGGCAGGGAGATGTGCACTGGAGTGTTCAAGTGGATGGCAGTGCCCTCGCGGACAGGATGAAGGCCTCGGGCTTGGCTTCCTGCTTCAGCACTCCGGTGAGCAGGAACTCTGGAGAAAGCAGGGGCAGGCCAGCCCTGGATGCAGGGGAGCAGCGTGGGAAGTCCTGGGTGCAGGTGATCACCACTCTGCGAGGCTAGGGAGACAGCAAAAAGAGGAAGCCTGGGTGAGAAGGAGTCCCAGAAATAGACTTGGGGCCTAGTGATCAGTCTCACTCAGTACAGTGCGATGCCAACATGCACCTAACACATTGCACAGTGCCTGTGAATTATTCTTGCCAGAAAAGCTGAACGTACTCAAGCTCAAATTAGCTAGGTGTGGTGCACACCTGAAATCCCAGCACTCAGGAGGCTGAAGCAGGAGGATCTCTGCCAGTCTGAGGCCAGCCTGGGCTACACAGTGAATTCAAAACACCCTGAATTATATAGTGAGACCTTGTTTCAAAAAACAAAACTAAACAAACTGCAATTTATGGGAAGTCTTAGATTAGACAGAAGAATACGATAAATGATACAACAAGGAAGCAAATAGAGATGCCCAGATTGGAGAAAATTCTAAAGGATGACTGACCTAGTTTCTGCAGGCATTAAATGGCTTAAAAAAGGAAGAGTCAGTAGGGCTCTGCTCCACAATAAAGGAATTAGAAGACGTTCCAAATGCAGCAATGCATGGGCCTTATGGAAGTCCTGGGTTGTTTTTTTGAGACAGTTTCCCTAAGTAGCTCAGGCTGGCCTGAAACTCAGGCTTCTCCAGCCTCAGCCTCCAGGTGCTGGGGTTACAGGCTGGAGCCACCACACCCAGCAATATCGTTGTCTTTTGTCATTCCTGCCATCTCTTTAACTGCCCTTCCCCAAACTGCCTATGTCAGCCATACCTTGTAGGATCGGGGCATGCTGGGTAGGACGGTGCCTCCACAGCAGGTGATAATCTCTGCCATCTGCAGGGGCGGGGGCTGGACCCCAGCGGTCACGTGAATCTCATAGCCCTAAGGGAGATGAGACAGGAAAGGTGTGTACTGAGAGGGCCTGGCGCTGGGCCGGAGCAGGCAGGAGATGATGGGTTCTTACCTCCAGCAGTCTTTGCTCCCGAGCCCGAGTTAGGGCATCCTGAAGGCGAAAGCCGAAGTTCTTCTCCTGCTCGGGGTCCGTCACCACATACCGATCGGGGGGCAGGAAGTGGCCCGCCTTTTGGGACTGAGGAAGGTAGCAGTTAGCAGCAGGGCTCAGGCCACCCCACCTAGCACTCCCACAGCAAGCGTTTACAGAGAGCTCCCCACACACACCTCCTAGCAGCTTGGGTCTCCCTCACTGCACCCCTCTCCCTGCCCTGTGAGCCGTCTTCTCCACCTACCTGATGCAGCCACTCCAGGGAGAGGATGGGGATGCCCCTCCCCAGGGCACACAGGAACTTGACTGTCCGGCGGATGCGATCGGTGACCAGGTGGGAGGCCTCTGCCACTGAGCTGGCCAGACTGCCCCCCAGGCCCAGCACGGCCTGCTCCCCTCGGGCATCCAGCACTCCTGTGAAGAGGACCTGGAGGGGGTTGGCTTGTGCTGTCACACAACCCTGGCCACAGCACCTACCTTGCAGACCCCCTCCCTAGAGCCCTGAGCCCCTGTCCTACTCTGGGGGTTGCTGATGACTGAGTAGGTTTGTTCCTTCGGAGGCCACGTTTTGGAACTTCCCGGGGTGGCTCCGTCTGGTCTCTCTTCCTTTTGCCTGGTCCTGGAGTCACCACATCCTGGGAAGAAGAACAACACCTTGGCAGGAGTCTGAGCCCTGTGGCTCAGGCTCTCAGCTTGGGCCCAGCCCTCTTCTCACCTCTGCATTCCTGGGCCTCTCTGCAGTATCCTCTTCCTCTTCCTTGGGGAACACAGTCTTTGGGGAGCCCTCTCTTTGGGGCCACTTTAGAAGAGGGGGTAAATTCGTACTGGGGTAAGGCCTCTTGTGCCTTTGAGAGGCTGCAGGCCGTGGCTCTGGGGTGGACTCTGGGCTATCTGCCGCTTCTGTCTTTGGGACGAGGAGAACCTGAACAGGTGCCTCAGGGAGCTGGGGAAAGGAAGGCCCAGAAACGGTCCCAAGGGACGCAGCTGCTCTCGGCCTGCCCGCCCGCTGGTTCCCTGTGGATTGGTCTGCAGGTTCAGAGCAAGGCTGGTGGACACCGGGAGCTGTGAGGGAGCCATGCTTCCCAGCGGCCCGCTGTTTCCTACCGCAACTGGCTCGAGGGATGGGCTCATGGGCATAATCTGTGGTGACAGGAGGCTGGGGTTCTCGGGGGGCCCTGCCCTGAGCTATGGTCTCGGGGGTGACAGGCTGGTCTGTGGAGGTGGGAGGCTCCATGTCAGCGGCTGATGGTTCAAGAGTCTCAACAGAGGATTTACGTATCTGGCCCCGAGTGGCCCGAGGTGTGTGTTTGGGGGCGACAGGCTGGTCTGTGGAGGCAGAGAGCTGCAGCTTGGGGGCCGCTGCCTTAGCTACTTCGGGGGTTGTGACAGAGGACCTCCTCGTCCTGCCTCGAGTGGCCTGAGCAGCAGGCTCTGGGCTGACAGGCTGGTCTGTGGAGGGTGGCTGGAGCTCAGAGCTTGTGGGGAAGACCGGTTCAGGGCTCCTGACGGAGGACTTGCACGGTCTCCCTTGAGTGGCCTGAGGTGTGGCAGCCTGGTGTGTGGAGGTGGAGGGCTGGACCTTGGGGTCCGCTGGCTCAGCGGTCTTGGCAGAGGACCTAGTTGTCCTGCCCTGAGGTGTGGGTTTGGGGGTGACAGGCTGGCCTGTGGAGGTGGAGGGCTGGAGCTTGGGGGCCGCTGGTTCAGCTGCTTCAGGGGTCTTGGCACAGGGCCTATTCATCCTGCCGCGAGTGGCCCGAGCTGGGGGGCCTGGGGTGTCAGGCTGGCACGTGGAAGCGGAGAGCTGCAGCTCAGGGGCTGTGTGGTCAGCTGCTTCGGGCGCCTTGACAGAGGACCGACTCCTCCTGCCCCTCACGGCCCGAGGTGTGGGCTTGGGGAGGACAGGCTGGTCGGTGGGGGAGGTGGGCTGGAGTTCAGGGGCTGTGGGCTCAAAAGCTTCAGGGCTCTTGGCAGAGGACCTCCGTGTCCTGGCCTGACTGGCCCGAGATGTGGGCTCAGAGGGAGCAGGCTGCTGTGCAGGAGTGGGAAGGTGGGGCTGGGGCGTGTGGGCAGCAGAGGAAAGTGAAGCGGGTGCCGTTCTAGAGGAGGGCCGGCACCTGACACTGGGCTTTGGCGGGAAAGTCTCCAGCTCTGAGGACACGGCAGGCTCTGGAGCCTGCCGCCTCCCAGTGCGCCTGGCCCTAGGAATGGCTGGCTCAGAAGATGCACGGGGAGAAAGGGGGCGCTGAGAGGGAAAGGGGCCTGGGGGTGGGATGGAGGCTTCCGGCGTTGCAGCGGGCAGGCAAGCATCTGGAGACTCCAGGTCACCCTGAGGAGAAAGAAGCCAGTGAGAAGTAGCAAGAGGTCAAAACTGGACACTGTTTGGGCCCACATGAGGGACAGGATGCTGAGTGCACGGATTTCTTCGACCTCTCCTGTCAGACTGGGAACCCGGAAAAGGAAGCAGGCTTCTCTGCAGACCTCTCCCCCCATCCAGCATGGCGCTCTCCACACAGGGGGGCTACTAAGGAAGAGGAGGAAACACAAGGAAAGGGGCTTCCTTCCTGAGTCAGGCAGAGGGAGCTGCCACCTGGGACACAAATACAGAAAAAACAACAAAAACAACAAAAACAGAAAGCCATGGTGCCAAGGGCAAAGGGAAGAGGCAGCTAAGGAGCGGTGAAGGTAGAGAATGGAGGATGTGGGGCGAGGCAAGGACAGGGCTCTGAGGGGTGGAGGGCGAGCGTGGAGCGGAGAAGTCTCGAACACAGCTCTCACCCCAGAAGCGTGCTCAACAGGTGGTATCTTGCCATCCACGTGGCCTGGACAAAGAGAGACACAGGGGCACTGAGTTCCACGAAGTTGGGTGCTCAGGGATTATCCTGAGGGCTGCACATCACCCAGGGCTCCCCTCTACCCTCACTTACCTCTGGGCTGCCCGCTGGGGCTCCCTGGGGCTCCCCTCGCTCCACCTGACTGGCACTCCACCCCCACTCCCGGCTCTGGGCTTGCTCGGGCAGCCTGCTCTTCCGGGTCCCCGTGCCCTCGCTCCGTCTCTCCCGTCTCCAGGGCCACTGCCAACCCGGCCTCTGCTAGCCCACGCTCTGCTTCTGGCCCCGATTTCTCCACAACTCCCTCAAGTGCTTCTCTCGCAGGGGTCTCTCTCTGGACGTCTTCCTCTCCTGTCTCCTCTGATGCCTCCACTTCCCCTGTCGGGCTCGCCCTGCCCCTTTCAGGACTCACACTTTCTACCTTTCTGCCAGACTCTGGGCTCTGAGCAGCTCCAGCTAACACCTGCTTCTGCTCCCTGTCCTTTATCCTCCTAGTTAACTCTTCCTCCTCCAGCTCATCTGGGCTTTCTCCCGGTAGCCACTCCTGGATGTCCCTCTCTGGCGTCCCTCTCTCGGGGGTCACCCTCTCTGCTGTTTCTCCTGCTGTACCCCTATCTCTCTCCACAGTCTGCGTCGCTCTGCCCTTGGTCCCCAGTGGCTTCGTGTGCCCCGAGCTCCCAGGATGCTGGTGAGGTCTGCAGGCTTCCAGGAAGGTGGTCATGGGCTGGGCTGCGGAGGCCTCGGGCTCTCCCACACAGAAGGGCTGAGTAGCCAAGATTTCCCACGGCTCATCCAGTGCACCTGAGAGTCAGGGAGGGAGGGGCAGAGAAAGGGAGATTTTAAAAAGGTGATACGTTGGGCCGGGGATTTAGCTCAGTGGTTCCGCCACCTGCCTTGCAAGCGCAAGGACCCAAGTTAGATCCCCAGTACCCTCTCCCCAAAAAAGGCAATAAGTTGAGAAAAGATTAAGGTACTCTCGTGAATAATAAACCTAAAAGGGCTAATAAGGAAAGCTGGAGGGCCGGGGATGGATTTAGCTCAGTGGCACCCCTGAGTTCAATCCCTGGTATAAAAAAAAAAGGGTGGTAGTCATAACATTTAATGTTATAAGAGCATATTCTCATATGAAGTTTCCCCCAATAGTTTATTCTATTTTTATTTTAGGTACCGGGGATTGAACTCAGGACCTTGTGCTTGCAAGGCAGGTTCCACTGAGCTAAATCCCTAGCCCCCCGTAGTTTATTTTAAAAAGAAACCTAGCTAGGGCCAGGGATTTAGCTCAGAGGTTCTGCTGCCTGCCTTGCAAGTACAAGGATTGGAGCTAAATCCCCAGTACCAGAAAAAGAAAAGGAACCTAGCTGCATGTGGTGGCACACACTTGTAATCCCAGTGTTCTGGGAGGCTGAAGCAGGAAGATCCAATTTTAAGCTCAGCCTGGACGACTTCGCAATTTAGCAAGATCCTGTTTCAAGATCAGGAAAAGGACTGGGAGATAGCTCATTATGAAGACCCTGGGTTTGATCCTTAGTTCGGTACTGGGGAAAAAAGTGACCTAGACGGGTCTATCCATGGATCTGCCTTAATATGGGATTTTTTTCTAATGAGATGGAGAGAACAAGAAAGGGTGCAAATTTGGAGCACAGAGTTTCTCGCACCTGGGGCCTGAGTGCTGCAGTGGGAAGGGCCAGGCTCTGGGGAGAGCGCACAGGGGAAGGCCTGGGTAGGTTCATCCTCCAAACCCTGGACGGCTGCACAAGAAAAGCCAGCTGAGCTCAACTTCTCACACAACCCCAGGGCCCCGCCAGGCCTCTGATCCCCATCCTCCACCGCCCTTCCCACTGCACCAGGACCCAGCCACCCAGCGTCTTCACCTTCCAGGCTCTCATTCTCCACAAAGCATTGGGTAGCTTGAAGATCCAGATCTTCACAGTCTGCGGGGGTAGAGGACAGAACAGACCAAAAAACGCATGCCCTGAGTCCCTTAGTTCACCTCCACTGTGCTCTCCCCAGTCCTTACACCCACTGTTTACTCCAAGGGCCAAAGGAGAAAGAAAGGGTGCCACTTACCATCAGAGCTGTCTCTGGAGCCTCCGGTCCTGGCCAAATACGATTTCCTCTTCCTTCCTGCCGGCGTCTGTGCTCCTGCTCTCTGTGGCGGGGTGGGGTTTCCTGGGGTTCCTGTGTGCACCACCTGCTCCCCTTGTGTCACAGGAGCCCTGCTGGGGGCCCCCACTTCTGGAGATGTCTCATGAGCATCCCCTTTGGCCAGAGGCTTGCTTTGTCTCACAGCTGCCACTGCTGAGGCTGCGTCCTCCTCCACAGACACCTGACAGCTCTCCAGATGTGAAACGGCTGGCGCTGGTGGGACGTCCTCCTCTGCTTCTGTCTTGATGTGCACTGTGGCGGGAGAGGCTTGGCTTCTCTCTGGGTGGGTCCCATGGGAGCTCCTACCCACATCGCTGTCCCCATGGGGCAGTCGGCTTTCTCCAGAGTGCGCTGTAACAGGGCCCTCACCCTTCTCTGTGTAAGCACTAGGGACAGTTTCCCTCTTTCCCACTGGGAGCCTCTCTTCCTCCACATCGGTGTCGCTGTCTTTCCCCAAGGCGGTTTGGTTGTGTTCCAAAGAGACCACAAGCTGGGCTCTGGCCTTTTCTGCATCTGAGTCTCTCTTCCACCGAATAGCTCCACTCTCTTTCAGCCGTGCCAAGGTGAGCGCCGCGGAGACTTCTTCCTCATCGTCTGTGTCACTGTCAATCGCCATGGAAGTCTGGCTTCCTGCTGGCGGGGGTTTGTGCTCTTCCACACCCGCATCACTACCAGCTGGGCTCTCCTGCACAAGTGCTGCGCCGGGGGCTCCAGGGCCTGCTCTTCCAGCTACATGGAAGATCGGCCTCTTCTTCACGGGAACTGCAGCTGGGGTCACAGGGATGCCCTCTTCCACATCACTGTCACTGTCCATGAAGCCTGAAGGCTGTGCTTTCAGGTGGAGCCTGGCTGCCCCGCTGTCTTCGTCGACATCTGTGTCACTGTCCTCGTCTAGACAGTGGCTCCTTTTCAGAACCACCTTGTTCCGTGCATCTCTCCTGACTTCCATGTCTTTGTCCCTCTCTACTGCAGGTGGAGCCTTTATTGGCCGGGGGTCACGTGTGACTCTGTCACCGCCAGGCTGCTCTGCCTTCGTGGCACTGTTCCTCACCACTGAGAAGGGCTTCGCTGCTTCATTCTTGTCGGTGTCACTGTCCAAGTTGAAAGCCAAAGATGGCGCAGAGCCACCTGGAGCTGGAGAAGGTCCCTCATCATCGCTGCAAAGGGAACAGAAAGTCGATAGCACCTACTCCCTGAGAAGGAACAGTCCACTCAACCTGGAGCAACTGAGGGGCAGGCCCAGGGAGCATTTGTCTTTCCATCCCCCAGTTAGTTCTCCACTTGGTACATCAGAGGTGATTCCTAAAAATGCACCTGAGGGCAGGGTGTGGTGGTGCACATGTGGAACCCCAGCACTTGGGAAGCTGAGGCAGGAGGTTTGCCAGAAGTTGAGGCCACACTGAATTACAGAGCAACATTATAAAAATTGCATTATAAAAAATGCAACAGAGACTGGGTGTGATGGCACACCTGTAACTGTAGCACCCTGGGAGGTTAAGGCAAGAGAGGTACAATTTTGAGCCTAGCCAGGGCAACAAAAGGACCTTGTGTATGCCTCGCAAGTGTAAGGTCCCAAATTCAATCCCTGGTACCAAAAAAAAAAAGTGCTATGGATATAGCCCAGTTTAGTCCTTAGTACTAGGGAGGAAAACCCCAGCTCCGTGAATATGTGTTGCTCCCCAGCCCTACCTTTCAAGATAATCAATTCTGAGAGCTGACCTTCCAGGCCCTGGCTCTTCCTGCCTGCCCAGACTTAGGTGTCTGGCCTTTGGGTGCTCACCTTTCTGGAACTACTGTTGTCAAAGGGGAAGATGCGGTCCTTGAGTCTTTCTCCATACACCTTTCAGAAGAAAAATCTGGCAAGAACACAAAGGAGTAAATTGACAATGTCATACTCATTGTCTCTCACCTAACTACTCAACACACAGACGTACCTGCCTCCTCCTCCGAGTCCTCAGCCAACGGAGGCCTGGCAGCACGAGCAGCTCCCAGGACCCTGGGGGTCTCCTCTACAGTTAGAGGGCCCCGGGAGCCCACGGGCAGGGGCACATCCAGGCGACGATACTGACAGGGCAAGTCAGCGAAGAGGATCAGTTCGTGGTTTCTCAGAGGATGACTCACCCCTGGGCTCAGGACCCTAGGCGGCCTCAGGATCTGGGTACCATTGAGGCTCCCACAATCCTGAAGGACAGGTGCCTTGTTCCGTGCTGAGATTTCAATCACTGCATGTTGTTTGGAAATAGATGGAAAGGGCAGGGCCACTGAGCAATCAGGCATTCGGCCTACCACATTCTTCCCGAGGTACAGTGGGAAATCTAAAAATGAGAGCAGTTGATAGAGACCAAGGTCATTAAGACCCATAAGCATTATAACAATAAAAAGCCCTAAGGCATATAGGCATTGAAGAGTGCATGCTAATTCATAGGCAATACTCTATCCATCCACACCAGATTTTTTTTTTTTTTTTTTTTTGGAACCAGGGGTTGAATTTGGGACCTTGTGCTTGTGAAGCATGCAGCGGCACCACTGAGCTAAATCCCCAGTCCTAAAACCAAATATTTTTATTGTATTTTTTTTGTTTGTTTGTTTGTTTGTTTTGAGATAGGGTCTCACTATGTAGTTGACGCTGCCCTGGAACTCGCTGTATAGCCCAGGTTGGTCTCAAACTCACAGCGATCCTCCTGCCTCAGCCTCCCAAGTGCTGGGATTACAGGTGTGCGCCACCATGCCCGGCTTACCAGATTTTTTTTGTTTGTTCTGGTTTTTTGAGAGAGGGTCTCACTATATAGTTGAGACTGAGGTGGAACTCACTATGTAGCTCAGTATGGTCTCGAACTCACAGGTATCCTCCTGTCTCAGCCTCTGAGTGCTGGGATTATAGGCGTGCACCACCACAACCGGCCCAGATATTTTTAATTGTAATAAAATATATATAACACATCCTTTAAAAATTTTTTTTTGAGGACTTGCAAGCTCAAGGACCTGAGTTCAATCCCCGGTACAAAAAAAAAAAAAAAAAAAAAAAATTTTTTTTGGTGGTACTGGGGATTGAACCTAGGGCCTTCACATTGAGGTACAACTCTGGCTCTTTATTTTGAAACAGCATCTAGCTAAATCACTAAGTTGCTCATGCTAGAACTGAACATGTGATCCTCCTGCCTCAGTCTCCTAGTGTGCTAGGATTATGAGTGCACACTATCAATATCTGGCTTCATTTTAAATCCATTAAGGCTGGGCATGGTGGCGCACACCTGTAATCCCAGCACTCGGGAGGCTGAGGCAGGAGGATCACTGTGAGTTTGAGATCAGCGTGGGCTACATAGTGAGTTCTAGGTCAGTCTCAACTATACAGTGAGACCCTGTCTCAAAAAAAAAAATCCATTAAGTGTAAAGTTCAGTGACATTAAGAGTATTCTGGGGCCGGTGATTTAGCTCAGTGGTTCCACAGCCTGCCTTGCAAACACAAGGACCCACGTTCAATTCCCAGTACTGAAAAAAAACAAACAAAAAAGAGTACTCTGATGGACAACCATTGCCACAACCCACCTCCAGATCAGACTGGAGCTCTTTGTATTCTGCTACCATACTAAAAATCACTTCTAATAAGTTCACTCCCAGAACAATCAACTCTGTTGCTCCCACCCTGCCACCTTCTCCCTTCCCAGTAAAGCAATTTTCAGATATCCCTAAAACATGTCTTTTCTAATACTTTCCATGAAAAAGACCCACCTTAACCCTTCAGTACTTAACATGCCCTGACCTTTTTCTGGTCCATAGGCACCACCAAAGACACGCAGTTGGCCTATAGGTTCCAAGCTACACCCCAAGGAGTCACTGGATTGCTCTATCTCCTCTTCTTCCTCAACAGCCCAGTCAATAGTCTGGGTGTCTTCCATGGCCTGGGAAAGAAACACATCATCATCAGCATCATCATCACTGCACGATCACTGGTTTGCACACAGTGTCAGAAGACGGTACCTGGGGTAAACCTGAGGAAAGACAAAGTTGATGTTTCTCTTTCCATCAGTCATTCTGCTATTATGCTTCTGAAGCATTTAAATAAAATTTGGAGGCCAGGAGTGGATGTATACTCTTATAATCCTAGCACTCACTCAGAAGGCTGAGGCAGGAGGATCCCCACAAGTTAAAGCCATCTTGGACTACATAATAAGTTCAAGGATAGTCTGAACTACATAGTAAGACACTTGTTTCAAAAAATAAAAAATACGTCAGGTATGGTGGCACATGCCTGTAAACCTAGCACTCAGGAGGCTCAGGCAGGACTCTGGTGAGTTCCAGGCCACCCTGGGCTACATAGTGAGTTCAAGGCCAGCCTAAACTACATACTGAGATTCTGTCTCAGAAAAAAAAAATGGCTGGGTGTGGTGATGCATGCCTGTAATGCCAGTGCTCAGGAGGCTGAGGCAGAATTGCTCTGAGTTATGACCAGCCTAAACTACATAGTAAGACCGTCTCAAAAAAACCCAAAATTGGGCTGGGAATTTAGCTCAGTGGTGCCGCTGCCTGCCTCACAAGAGAAAGGTCCTGAGTTAGATCCCCAGTACAAAATAAAACCAAAAACCAAAAACCAAAACAAAAAAACAAAAAAACCAAAACAAAAACAAAAAACAAAATTAAATAAATACAATTAAAAAAATAAATGAATAGAATTTTGAAAGCCAGGCTTGGTGGCCCATTCCTGTAGTTGCATTTACTTGGGAGGCTGAGGCAGGAGGATCACATAAGCCCAGGAGTTTGGGTACAGCTTGGGAAACCATAAGACATTGTCTCAAAAGAATTCTTTCGTAGTGACAGAGCACTGGCCAAGCATGCACAAGGCCCTAGGTTTAATCCCCAGCACTACAACAATTAAATTAAAAAAAAAAAAAAAAAAAAAAAAAAAAAAAAACGTACAATATTTTCCATTCTAGTTCTTGTATGCTGATTTACAGCCTACTAAACTAACTTCACTACCCACTACTGGGTTACAACCCCCAGTTTGAAAAACAGCTTTTTCCTCTGGGCCTGGTGGGGCGTGCCAGTACTCTAGAGGCCAAGTTACGAGGATCACTGTGAGTTCAAGGGCAGCCTGAATTACATAGTAAGACACTGTCTCAAACAAAACAAAACAAATGCTGGGCATGGTGGTGCACACCTGCAATCCCAGTACTCAGGAGACTGAGCCAGGAGGGAGGGTCACCGTGAGTTCGAGGCCAGCCTGGGCTACATAGGGAGATCCTGTCTCAAAAGCAAACAAACAAAAACTCCAACAACAAAATAAAAAAAAAGCACCCCCCCCAATTCTGCTAACACATGCTAAGCATGTGTTGAGCACTATGTCGTGTCAGAACAGTAGCCATATGATTGGGCATTTAGGGAACCAGTGGTAAAATCACTAGGATATACACCAGGTAAGTAGATACAAAGTAGGGCTGGTAATGTACTCAGCAGCACAGTGCCTGTTTGGAAAGTAGATATACAATAATGTATGTGCTGCTATCTGAAAGGCCCATGATGCTTACATTTTACCAGATCACCTCAGTATAATCAGTCTAAAGCACAAAGCACCATATGACCACATATCGAAGCTCTAATGAGTTGAGGACTATTCTACTTTATATCGACCCCCGCCACACTAGTTCTGGGGATTGAACTCAGGGTATTTCGCATGGAGCTACAGGTCCCCAGCCCTTTTAAATCTTTGCGTTAAAATAAATAATTCAATAAAATTTGAGTTACAGTTTTGCTAAATTGCCCAGGCTGGGCTTGACTTTGCAATCCTCCTGCCTGTGCCTCCCAGAATGCTGGGATTACAGGTGTGTACCACTATGCTGACTCACTGAATCTTCTCAAGAATTCTGTGGGCTGGGGATTTAGTTCAGTGGCACTGCACCTGCCTTGCAAGCACAAGGTCCTGAGTTCAATCCCCCGTACTGCAAAAAATAAAAAAATAAAGTAAGCGTTATCACTCCACTTTTCCAAATAAACTCCAACAGAGATGGGTTAAGGGACTCGCCCAAGAGCACCCATTCTGTTAGGGCTTTCCAAGACCAAAGCATAAAATAAAGTCCAGACTCCTCAGGAAGAACCGCTCGGGTCTGAACCTTCTCTTTCATACCCTGCCTCCAGGACTGGACCAGTGGGACTGCGTCCGTCCCCTAGGGTCCGTCATATTCATTTTACAGTGGTTATAGCGCACCTGATACGGCTGGAGGTTTTCGGGATACATCCTGAACCAAATATAAAATGAATCCTGCCTTCATGGAGGGAGGTTACATCACGGAGCCTACTGATGAAAGAACAAATGAGAGCTGTAAACTCCCAACAGCACGGGCGGAATTTACCTAGAAAGATGCCACCCTGGAAGGAAACTACGGATCAGTAGACACTCCCAGAGAAAGTGTCACCTCGGCTCTTCTGTCGCGCCAACTCGGGGCGCCCACACCCTTGGCCTCAATTCGAAGGCCACCATCTTTGATTCCCACGTTCCAGCGTGTTCGCTCGAGGCCCGACATCTGTGTCCCCTCCCTCCACTGAGCCCCCGGCGCCTGGCAAGGACGTCTAATACTACCTAAAAAGCTAATTTCCAACCTAAATTTCCAGATACCACCGCCCAGTCGTATCCAAGGTTCACCCCTCCCGCCCTCAGGAGGAGTCAAGATGGTACCCGAGGAACTGTGGGCGAGGCCCCCAGAACTCACCTATTTGAGTCTCCGCGCGCGCGCCACCAGTAACGGTCGGAAACTGGGTGGTGCGAGTGCTAAACCCGGAAAGAAGCCGGCTCGTTGATTGGTTCCTGTCTCTGTCTTTCACAGCTTGCTGTGCGCTGATTGATGAAGCCCTAAGAGCGCAAGCACATTCGAAGCCCGGCCAGCCCCGCCTCCCTTTAGCTCAACGTCCAGGTTATTCGGGGAGACTGAGATCAGTTAACCGGAGCGTACTGTGATTGGCCCACTCCAAAGACAACCCGCCACCTCTTCACCGCCCAACGCCCACGTCCAGCGCAGATTTCCAAACCGAGACCAGAGAGTCTGGCGCCCTGGGCTGGCCACGGATAGAAGGGCTGTACCATAGATGTCGTGCAGTGCGTCTGTTGCGGCCAGAGCGTCCTTCCTCGATCGGCCCAGACATGGTGTTCGCTGACTCATGAGAAATGAAAACCGTTTGCGGGTTGCAGTCGTGGCTGGAGGCTGCAGTTTGGAAAATAGCCCGTAGGCGTGGCGCTTGAGGACTCCTTACTGCAGTGGAATTTCATGTCCCTTTGATTTGGCTTGTTTAGTAGGAGTCATGTCATTTTTCCCTGAGAATATCACCCTGACGGACATTTTGAGGTCATTTTCCTTAAATGGACGCTCCTAAAGAAAGTGTAGGCAAACAGAAAACTGATTTGCCAAAAGTTCTCACATTTTAAGAGACGAGGGAAGGGTGATAAAAATCCTTATTTTTAAATAAGACGAGAATGGTAAGAATGTAATGTGTATATAAGGAAGCTCTTTGCTGTTGTCTCAGCTATTTCCACAACAACTAAATAGGCTGAAATAGATCTTACAAACGAGATACTTGAAACTGAGAAGTTAAATGCCTAGATTCCTACAACTAATGTAGGGACAAATTGAAACAAATCATTTGACTGCTGAACTTTTTCTAATATGTGACTCCTTTCATTGTGAGCATGCCCCCTATAGTACAAAAGATTCTATTTTAAATGAATATAAGGGTCTTACAAATCTCGATGCTCCTTTATTTTGGGGGTTTGCAAATGTGTGCTCATCTGTGTATTAATTTAAGGTGAATTAACAAAGACCTTGATAACACATCTGTATTATATAGCAGGGCTGGGGATTTAGCTTAGTGGTGCTGCTCTTGCCTTGAAAGTGCAAGGTCCTGAGTTCGTACCCAGTACCAGGAAAAATAAAACAAAAACCCTCTAAGGACACATCTATGTTATAGCACTTACCACACTCCATTATTTATCCTCTTCTCAACAAAGTGCAGTAATCTAGAAGCCAGAGAGCTAGCTAGTTTTTGATCATTTTGTATTCCTGGTTACTGCTTTGGTGGCTATTTAGTATCTTTGAGATGCGTGAACTCCTGGGGAAGGAGATGGGCTTTACCATCCAATCCCCCACCCCCGCCTCTGTCCATCCTGAGACTGTACATTGGGCACACGTGGTCAGTGAAAATCAGCTAACTGAAAAGCAACTGACCTCATTAGAGTGTCTGAAAGAGGTAGATTGAAAAAGCACTGATATTCTATCAGGCATCTCACTTCCATCGTTTCCTTTTGAGGAGATGAACAAGTGGTCTTCACATTCTGCCCCAAGGCCTAGATTCCCTAAATGCACGGAGACGTCCAGCTTCACAAAATCTAGATGTTAGATGCTCTAAAATATTCAACTCATTCTTTGAACAGACCCTGCGAAAGTCGCTATTCCGAAAACTCCTCGCTGCAATTTTGTTTCTCTTTTGAAACAGAGTAACTTGAAAACCACAAAGGAAACTGGAGGACAATCCCTTCCTTCTTCCTGAGGTATCTAGGGGATCCGCTCTTTACTGGAGTTTTTTCCGTGGGTCACCAAAGGACCAGAACTCTGTACCAGAGCAGAGAACCACACTTTCGCTGAACTAAACTGTACCGTCCTCCCGAGAGCTAACGCAGCGGGGAGCTTTCAGGGCGTGCCGACCCCACCTTCCAATTCCTGCATCCCCCCCAAACTATTTTGTTTTTGAAAATTAGAAAAAAGAAAAACTTCCACATAGAGGATAACAATTTTCTCCATGGTCATTTTTTATTAAAAAATAAGAAAACGACAAAAAAGAAAAAAAACCCAGTACCCACCCCACCCATTTCTAAGTTCATTTTACAGCGTGGACAACAATAGAGGACTACAACTCCCAGAGAGGACTGCGCTCATCCGCTGCACAGTGACCAATGGACGCCTGGTACATGTCCAGCACTGACCAATCAAAGCTGGGCTCTAGGAGGCTTTGTCTGCAGACCCGGGCGCGGGCACTTATCTCCCGCCTCCCAGCCCCGCGCACGCGCGCCCCGCCCCGCCCGCCTTCCCTCCTGCGCCCTCCCCTCTTCTCTGCCTCTCAGAATCTTCCTGCCGTCGCGTTCGGATCTCGCTGCTCCAGCCTCCGGGGCACGTTCCATCCTTCCAGCCCGCGACCAGCAAAGGAAAAAAAGCTTACATATTTTCTTGCCCCGCACATTCCCGGAGGCGAGCAAAACTAGTTAATTTTAACCATGAGGGAAATCGTGCACATCCAGGCCGGTCAATGTGGCAACCAGATCGGTGCTAAGGTAAGTCAAAAGCCTCTTTTTCATTTATATTTCTTCTTAGAATGAGGAATCCAGGCTAAAAGAGGAAGAATAATTGTGGGGCGTTTGCACTCCATCAAGCTTCGCTCTCCACCCCCCCAAAGTTTTTCACATGTGAACATAATAACCATTTGTAGCTTGCACTTGGTCTCGAACAACGGGAAATTATTTTTCTCGGCAGCGCATTTTGGGGAAGCTATACAAGGACTTGCAGGGTTCAGGGCACGGGGAGGTCGAGGATCTGTGAGATCTTGCCCAAAGGGCGGTCTTCCTAACGGCCCGCGGGCGGGAAGGAGCTGCCCGGACAAAGCGAGCGAGGCCCCATGTGCCCCTGGTCCCGCGCCTGGCCGGGCTTCGGGGCCACAGCGGAGGGGGAGGGGGCGAGACCGGGCTCCGCTGCAGAGCTGGGGCGCGGGCGCCACACGCGCACAAAGGATCGGGAGCCCCGCGCGGCTTGGGTCCCCAGGGGTGTTCCCGCAGCCTTTTGTGGCGCGAAGGATAAGAGGTAGGGGCTGCCTGACTTTTCGTTGCCCTTAAGACCGTTCTAGAGTGAGGATAGGAGAAAAGGCCAGAGTGGGGTGAGCTCTTCTTTGGCGGGCCCCTCCCCCTCGCTGTGGGCGAAAGCAAGCCGGGGAAGCCCAGGAAGGGAACGAATTCCAAGGCCTCGGGGAGTTTTTTCTTTTTTGCGCGCGGTTACAGTGTGGCGGAGAGGAAGTGCGGCCGCTGTGTTGTAGCAGCAGGGCGGGCCCGGGGGCGGGGCCGGCGGTCTGGCGCGCGCGG